GCTCCTCCTGTGAGAACAAAATAACTTCAGACAGTTAATTTTTTGTCTGCAAAAAAGTATAAAAAGAAGATATTACTGTCCTTGAAAAGGCAGGAGTGTCTGTGTGTCTATGTGCAGACACAAGTCCATATATTTAAGCAGACACACATCCAAAGAGCAGTTGATTACAGTGAGAATCAGTTGATTTAAAGCATTTCTGTAGTATCCTTATTTCTTTATTTTTCATGCTTTCTTAGAGGCACTCTGTCCTAAGCCAGTTAATACAAAGGAAGCAGGGGAGAGGTCCTGCTGCCTCCTATTTGCCACCCCAACCACTTCCAGCTGTGGAAAAAGTGCATTTGTGCACTGCACAGGCCGTGGAGTCTGCTCTGCCCTGTAAGAACAGTGCACAGGACACTCAATGGACATTAATTCTCAGTGCTTCCTCTTCTCTCTTTCTCCCTGTTACTTAATTTGGGCTATTAGAATGATACTGTAATGGTTCTGATGGAAGACCCAGAAAAAGCAAAACTGAAAAAACAATGGCTGGTGCTACAACTAGAATATTTCTTCCATTTGTTTGATATAAAAATTAGATTTCCCTTATGTCACCCATGAACAAAACCTGTGCTGAGCTGCCTGCATGGCCCTGTTAGAGAGAAATTGGAGGATCAGGTAAACAGAAGAGATTTTGGTATGAAAAGGTGAATAACCCAAGTTTTGCATTCTGTGCCAAGAGCTGGAGTCAGTCCCTGTGAGCAGAGCTCCCTTGTTTGGGAGGAGCACAAACACGGGCTCTGCTTCAGCAGCAGCATCCCCTGCTGGCACCTGCATCCCCTGCCCAGGGCACCCCCTGAGCAGCCTCTGGAAGGGCTTGGGGCTTGGAATGGCTTTTTAGGAATTATGGTTAAAATACTAATGAGTGGTTTGTAACAGATATTTGCTGAAACTGAATTCTGAAGTGTGGTGTGGATTCAGCAACAAATGTTGTGATAAACTGGAACAGAGAAAATCCCAGTGTCACCCAACTCCCCGTACCAGGCTCAGTGCCAGCTCTCCAGAGCCTCACAGGCACCTCTCTCCAACCTCACACTTAGGATTCAAGACACACTTACTGACATATTTCAACAATTTCTCCTCCAAACAATGTTAAAAACAACTTCCAGATATATTTTCGATTACGTTATTTTTCATTTAGACATATTGGAAACAACAGCAATAACAAATCTTTTGCTCACTCTCTCCTTTTTTCTTTAGGTTGGCTTTGTTGTTATTGGTTTTTTGTTTCCCTTGCTCTCTCCTCACACCATACTGCAGGTTTGTGTGTCTGAGAGCTGCTGAGAAATTGATATTGAGACGTGCTGAGAATGCATTGGAGTTACCAAGGAAGTGGTTTCCCAAGCAACAGTAACCACATGAATTTTGACAGAATTTCTTCCTCTATGGCTGTATCATGTTTGCAGCTTTGCAGGAGACTGAGTGTGGGTTGCATAAGTGATGTTCTCATTGTCAGCCTTGCTGTTTGAAGCAGATATAGTCAGATTTCTATGTTCATTAGAGCAAGAGTTAACTTCAGTTGGAGCTGGATGTTTGGGTGTGTGTTGAGGGCTGGTTTGTTTCTTTTTTTTAATTTTCCTGCCAGCAGACAGTGTGGATGTGCCAGAGAGTCCTGCAGCACGTGGGCAGATGCTGGAGGCAGCACTGAGCTGTTCCAGCAGTGCTGATGTTCTCAGGGTGATGTTCTCAGAGCTGATGTTCTCAGTTCTGATGTTCTCAGGGTGATGTTCTCAGAGCTGATGTTCTCAGGGTGATGTTCTCAGGGCTGATGTTCTCAGAGCTGTTCTCAGAGCTGATGTTCTCAGAGCTGATGTTCTCTGGGCTGATATTCTCAGGGTGATGTTCTCAGGGTGATGTTCTCAGGGTGATGTTCTCAGAGCTGTTCTCAGAGCTGATGTTCTCAGAGCTGATGTTCTCAGGGTGATGTTCTCAGGGTGATGTTCTCAGAGCTGATGTTCTCTACTTTGATGTTCTCAGGACTGATGTTCTTCTCTGCTCCAGAGGCCACGGCAGCACCTGGGGCTGCTCCAGCTGACAGTTCCCAGCTTGAGGATGTCAAAAGGGGAGGAAGATGCACGTGGTCAGAGTCAGTGGGAGGATGGGAACTGAGGGAAATCCAGGGCAGGAGTCCCAAGTCCTTTGTGGGGGCAAACAAAATGACTGTGGCCTCAGTCAAAGAAGGTAGAATTATAGGTCTTTTATTCTCAAAAAGAAATTACAATGACACAATAAATGTGGCTCTCTGAAGACAAATTTACTTAATGCTCCTGGAAGGAAGTAGAAAAGAACAGGCTAAACATCTTAACAAGAAGTGCAATTTAGTATATTTTGTTACCAGAAAATATTAATAAATTCTGTCTGCTTCCATGTCCTGATGTGGGAAGACACTGCAAAGGCTATGTTAAAAAGGGCTCAGTCCTGCATGACAGAGAAACAGAGCACTCATTTTTCAATTCAGCTTTAGGGACTGAGAAAATATAAATTTATTTCAGTAATTTGTCTTCAATTCAACAATGTCTCTTAGTATTCACTTCACATGCTTGGTGAAATCTAAAACAATAAAAAGGGATGGTATTTACATGAGCAGAATCCCACAGGAAGGTGTGTATTTCGAGCAGGAGTTATGTTACTGTAATACTTGTTTGCATTCATGTTGCGGTAATTTCCTCAAATATTTTCAAAAAAATTGGGTTTCTGCTTTGTCTGGGATAAAAAGATTGGGTTTAACTGTCTGAAAAGACTATTTTTTTTTACTCTCTCATCTTCTGAATTGCAGATCTCTATGGATGGTGAAACATTTGAGCTACAGAAGCTTTTAAAGTGTATGAAGAAACCATTAAGTACATTATGAAAGTGTTGAGGCCAAAGGATCTGAGCCAGCTCTTTGCATACCCAGCTCTAATGGACCTACTATTTACCCAGAATTGTAAGTGTCCAAGCAGAGACATTGGAGTGAATGAGCAAGAAGATTATTAGACTTTATTGGCTCTGGGTCTGTATCAGCTCTGCCAGGTACAAGATGGCTCAGAAAAACCCATATTCTCTTCCATCATTAATTTTTTTCCTACCTTCCTGAACTATTTCATACAAAGAACTGCCTTTTTAACCTGTCTCTCAACCCCTGTTCAAGTTGCAGAACTAACATTCCTCCCAGCTGAGGATGGTGTTGTTCCCAGGGAAAGCTGAGCCAGCCTCTCCCTTCTCCAGGAACACACAGGGCACAGAGCTGAGCAGGTCCTGCATTCAGTTCTGACCCGTGAAAGTAGAGAAAAAATCATTTCAGAGTTAGTGGATAAAATATTTGAGATCTAATATTGTTTGCTTAAAAAGCTGGGCTTCACTGCCAGTGTGGGATGTTGGGATAACCCCTGGGGACTGGGTGGCAAAGGACAGGACAGTGCCAAGGCTTGAGCCTGTTCCTGTCATGGGAGGGATTGGAAAGCTCTTCATCCCAGAAAGAGGAGGAGCTCCTCCTCCTCCTCAGCTCCTGCAATGGCATCTCAGTGCCTGAGGTGAGAGCTCAGAAACTCTGATGTCTGGAGCAACGAGAGGAACTTAAAGAAAAGGGACTGGAAAGCTCCAGCTTGGCAGCTAGAAAAGTTTCTTATGAGCTGAACATAAAAGGCTTGTAATTGTGTTTAGGATATTTTCTTCCAGATGTGAATATACACCTGTGCATAATGAAGTTTTGTGAGAGGCCAGATGTGAAGATTAATTTAAAATTTAAAATTCAGAGAGCTTTTAAAACTGGCACTCAATAATTATTTACATAGCCTGTTTAATCTCTGAGCCATCTATCACTGCACCTTCTCCTCTCCCCTTGACTCTGGTCCTTTATACCTCACTCATTTACCCCTTTGTGTCAGATGATTTATCACCTGTTCTTCCTATTCTAATCCATCAGTAGACAAGTTGCCTCTTTATTCATCATTTGCACTCCTTTAACTCCACAAATTATGGTTTACATTCCCTCCTCCTCTTTGTCCCTTCTTCCCTCCCTGGAACATTCATGCTACAAATACACTTTAGGCTTTTCTCCCCAGTCCCTTTTCCTTCACTTCACCAACTTGAACTTTATTTGATATTTTTCCTTCTTTCCCTCCTACTTAAAACCATTTGGGGTTTTATGGGAATGAAAAAGCATTTGGATCACAGGGTTGAGACTGCTCCCCCCAAGTGCCTGATGTTGAACTAGTATTTTTATGAACTATATAAAGCAGTGCCAAAACCTGCTGATTTGAGGGCATTATGGGAACAGGTGGTCCAGGCATAAGCAGCAGTGGGAAGCCTTTAACTGGGTATTAAAAAATGGACATTGGCTGGAGGACAAAACCCAAGCAGAAAGACACAATTCATTTTTACCCCCCTTCTTTTTCAGAGTCTTCCCTTCCCCTTAAAGATTGGCACCTTTTGTATGTGATATGCTACAAGAATATTGATTTAGTACTGTTTTGCTTAGAATAGGGAAACTGCTCTCTCCTGGAAGCAATAAGTATAAACATAAATACAGATTCAAATGTGGTGCTAAAATGCCACACATTCAAGTGGCCCCCTGCAGTGAAAGACTGACAGATTTGAAGTAATTCATGTTTTCTTTTTTGCTTTAATTATCTAATGCAACTTTACTTATATAATTAGCCCATAGTTTAATCTGCTTGATTTCCTTCCAGAAGATTCTTTTATTAAAAAAGAAGGGGATTAAAAAAAAAAAAAAGTAAAGAAGAAAAGCCCCAGCAACAAATAAACCCTCAAATCTGGTAATTTTTTCAGGGTTCACTATTACCTGACAGAGGGAATGGGTCTTACCCAGTGCAGGATTCTGGTCTTCCAAAGGGCTGGGCAAATCTTTTGGGAAGGACACCATTCTGACAGTTTCATAAGATGCAAATACTTTTTGTTTGCTGATTTTCCTCTCGTTTTCCATTAGCCAGGAAGCTGGAGAGGATTTTGTGAGTCTGTGCAGACCCTTCAGTCAGCCCTGCAGGGAACAGTGTCCTTGACTCCTGTGGAGAACAGCCCAGGTCTGAAAAAAACCGGTTTGTCACTTGTGGAGGTGCTTAAGAGGTATTGAAAAAGAAGAATTTCTACTGCTCTGTGAAAATGGGAAGGAAAATCCTGTATATGTTTCCCATAATTTACAAAAATTCTAAGACCAGAATTTCACAGTTTTCTTACATTAACAGGACACCAGGAGTTAGGGAGTGGGGGGAGTTGGTGCTGCTGGAGGCAGAATTTTGAAGAAAATGTTGCTGCTCAGCCTTGTTCCTCCTGCATTATCCTAAGAACTATCTTGGAAAAAAGTCCAAAAATGTGCATGAGATTGACCAAAAGCATGTGTGGTCACATCAATGCAATTTTCTTACCCAGTACTTTGTGTTACTTGATTTTCAGGAGCAGTATAAAGCCTTCATTACCAGTTGTTGGTTAGCTGGGAACTGCATGTTTTCAAGTGGAGAATGCACAGTTATATTAGTAATAAATTCACACATGTAGGTTTGGAAAGACTCAAATCTCACTCTTTGTTTCCTGCTGTGCCTAGTTATTATCCCCATTCTGCAGGTCTCGTCCATCTTCAAAAATCATCTCTTTCTATGTGTACCAGGGCAGCTGCATCTCATTTGTAACAACACTCCATTCCTGTTTCTGATCTTCAGCTCTAAAGCACTTGGAGATTCTTTGTATAAAACACATAAGATAGAGGTAAATAAATGAAGCTAAATTCAGCTGAGTCTATCTGACTGGTCTAACAGTTTTTACACCTGACAAGAGAAGTTAAGACAGCAAGTTAAAGTGATATATTAGACAGGAAGACACTGTCCCAGCCCCTGTTTTACCTTTTGTCCAAAGCCTTCAAGGGAGAACAGATCATTGACAAGAATTTCCTGGATTGGCTTTGATTTGTTGCTGATGATATTGCTGCTACTAAAACCTCAGAAAGAGCTTTTGGCATTTGTCATAATGTTCACCTGGAGGCTCAGGAGGATCTGTAGAGCACGAAGATCTCACTGGAACAGACAATAAAAAAAAAATTACTCAAGTGGACATGAAGAAGTTAGAATGTATTGTAGAGAAAAATGACACTTTATTTAAATCTAAAGGGAGAAAATGGATTTAGAGAAGTGGAAATATAGGAGCAGTTTATTTACAGGGATTAAGTTACCCTATTTATGATTGTACATTGAATTGAGAGATTTATTTTACACTGAGCTATTGTATGACACCAATAACATAGCACTGGTGCAAGGAAGAGCAATTATCCTGGTAGATAATTTATAAATCCTGGTAGATAATATATAAACATACCTTACTTTCTGAAGTTGAGTAGCCTTATGTTTAAATACAGCATGGAACTTGTCCTGTATATCCAGACTGAGCTGAACAGAGCATGACAAAGTGAATTTGGGGATTCTGAATGTTCCCTTGGAGGACCCCCTAACTGGACATGATCAAAGACATTCGAAGCCTTTTCAAATCACAAACAGGATTTTTTGTCTGCAGGAATGGAGCTGCTGGGCACGGCCTGAACTGCAGAGGGTGGGAGCAGGAGCACCCTCTGACAGCCCCGGGAACCCCCCACCCCTCCTGCCCTCCCATCACCCCCCTGCACACTCAGGGCTGGACTCTCCTGGGCAGTTCTGGCTGTAAGAAGGCTCTGTCAGCCCTCTGCAGTGACAGGACCAGGGAGGAGCTGCACGGGCCTGTCCACAAAGGTAATTTTTCAGTGTGAAGAATTTATCTCTGTCACTGGCTCACTGCTTTTTGTTTGCCCACAGAGAGCTCTCTCTGACTTAGTTCTAGAATTCTGGGTAGCAGAAAACCCAAGAGCTGTGAGCTATTTGTAATAAATAGTTGTATCACACACAGTTCCTAAAGAAAAATCAGCAAAGGCCACATCTTCAGATGTGTGACAGTGGGATCTCACATCCTGCAGGCAGATTACACCAATTTACACTCACTGATGTCTTATCTGCTCTTCTTATTATTTGTAACTTAGGACAGAGTGACTTCATTATGATTTGGGTGTTTTTATAAAGAGTTTTTTAAGGCACAGGGTTTGAGTTCAAATATTAACATGAGACTTAAATGATTATTGACATTTAATTTATATTTGACAACAGGAGCTATTACAAATTATGTTAACACATGACAGCCCATCCCTTTAAATTTGTGTATGTATGACTTGGCATGAAATTCCATTTTTGTAACTGCTTTGATATATTAACTTCAAAATCATGTGAAACCTTTGGCATAGGCAGCTGTACTCTTTTATTTTTTTTAAGTTTATACTTCTTAATGAGATTACTTCTCGTGGTTTATGAAATGTTTTGTCATAAAGTGGTCATTTAATTCTTGTATTTTAATTGTGACAGACCATTATTGCTGCTGATTTATTATCTATTATCCTCTTACAAGCAAATTTAATCACAGGAGCTCTATTTCCCTCTAATCTTTATTAGTATAGTGGAGAGAAAACTCTGCCACATTTAGTATTTAGCAGATAACTGAGTATTCTCAAGAAAGACCACAATGCCTGAAAATCCACAAAACAAAATTAAGGTTTTGTTTAAGTGGAGAATAAGTTGCAAATGGCTGAATGGCTAAAGAATAAAGTCTAGAAAAATAATGTAAACCTCATATATCACCATCAGACAGAAGTTTGAAAATCTGAAGCTGTGCTTACCTTGTAAAGATAAATGTAGAAATGTACCTGAAAAACATCATCTCTGCTGTTATGTCTGGGCAGTCTCACCTCACTAATATTTCAACCAGGGTAAGCTGTGTTTTTTTTCATAACCATTTAGGGATTTTCATAATTTTGGTAAACTTGGAAAGAAAAAACCACATAGCTGTTTATTTTCCTCAGGAAATAGTGAATGATGATGCCAAGAAGTATCAATTTACTTTGCCAAAATTAAAGTGGGGATGTCCTCTCCTCTCCTCCCATGTGCTTCAACTTTCTGTCATGCTGAATTCTGTGTAGAAAATTGTTCAGAAAGGTATAGAACTTGCTCAGAGATGTATAGAACTTGTTCAGAGATGTACAGAACTTGCTCAGAGCTGTATAGAACTTGTTCAGAGCTGTACAGAACTCATTCAGAACTGTACAGAACTCATTCAGAGCTGTACAGAACTGTGCCCCCCTGTCCCTGGTCTCCCATCTGCTGCTCACCCACTCGAGGTGGGTGCTGTCAGATGTCACATCAGACCTTGATTGTTTGGGTCTGATCCTGAGCAGTGTGAATTAGGAATTCATGGTCAGAGGAAGGCAAACATTAAAACATAGGTTACATTTATAAAAATTTTGTGTATTTGAAAGATACAGTTGCAGAAACCTCTTTTTTCAGGATGAGCATTAAAACAAACAGTGTCAGCTGAGAGCAAATTGATTCTGAGCACTGAATCAGAGACATGAGCAAATGCTGAACCCTAAATTGAATTGAGAATCTGAGTTTCATTTAATAACCAAACATTTGAATTACTTATTAAGAGTTCTGTAGGTAGCTGTACGGGCTGAATTTTATGCCTTCAAAATAAACAGTAGACAAAAGGAAATGTAATACAAGCACTGTGTTTTCAAGATAAGGTGCAAACAGAATAATTAATAGAAATGCAAACACAGTGCTAGTTTCTAGAAGAGCTTTATCTTATGAAACAAGTAATATAATTATGGTGACAAAGCTTGCAACTGAAACAAAAGTACAATGAAAGATTTTTTTTCCTAGAAGTGAGTTCTGATGATACATTTCTTCATTAAGAAAAACAGTTTTGTAAAAACTGGAACATTCTACTGGGGTCCACCTTTTTTTTCTTTTTGCAAAGATCCCTTTTCCTGTTCTGAAGGTAATTTCTGTTCAGCCAAGATTCTAATGCATGTGTAATTTTTCCTTTCTCCAGATCTGCCCTCGAGGTCTCTGACATTCACCTGTGCAGATGCAGTTCCACCTTCACACCCCGGGCATCCCTGGGGCTGCAGTTCCCTGGCCCAGCCATCCCTGCACATGTTCCTGCAGCTTTGGGAATTCTTTCCTCTGGGGACCTGTGTTATTTAAGAAGGAAGGGAATCCCCTTTAAAATTCACATATTTGATTTTAAAAATCAACCTTTGATTTTATTTGGAAATCAACAGTATTTTTCCTGTGTGTAGGGATGTCAGAAAGGCATTTAGATTAATCAGTTTACTGCATGTTTGAGTCACTGGAGGGATTGCCATCCCCTGCTGGACACAGAACTGCTCATGGTTTCAGAGCCTCAGGAGTTAAATTGGGCCTCTGCCCCTTCACCACAACCCCTCGATATTGTTTGAGTGCTTTTACACTTTGCTTTTTGGGAACACAACAAACACAGTCCCTGACACTGTTTCCTTCAGTACCAAACTGCTTCTGTCCACAGCAAGTGATGCTGAACCATGGAAGCCAAAACACAAACAGGCCATGGTTTGCTATGTCCAGAACTTGTCTTAATTTCCTTTAGTTTCATCTTTGTGGTTGCCTTTATAGACATACATATATTAAGGCTGTGATTCTGATTCCTCCCCTTGCCCTCCCCCCAAGAAAAGTATGGATTGGGCCAGGATATTTTGAAACTTTAGCTATATAAAATAATTACTTCAAAGACAGTCTGTGCATGTTTGCACGTTTAGTTTATTAAGCAAAACTTAATTTCATTCTGCTATGAATGACAAAATTAATTCTCAGTCTTCTGTTCCCTTATATATCCAAAGAACACGTGATAGCAGTGTATGATGCCAAGCCCAGCCTCAGAGCTCCCACTCTCCACAGAAGTTTAGGAGCTTCTATCACAGGCAGTAGCTGATAGAATACAATATTTGATAATATTGAATCCCCTGTTGCAATAAACATCTCATTTGAAGCAGTAATAGCAGACTATTATTCTAACCAAGCTTAATCTTCCTTAGCTGCAACAAATCATTTAGAATTATTCAGGGTAAAGTATATAGGTGAGATGTTAATAGAGAACCCGTTAGCCCAAACTGCTGTTTTAATCAAGAATTTGGACTGCAGACTAGAGCAGAATTTGATACTATAATAACACCTTTCAGACTGAAGGCATTCTAAAGCAGTGTCAGTAACGAGCTGGATGGTGGGGGTGCTCTGACTGTGTGGGGAATACAAATATCAGTGGCCACACTTTGTTCCACAGGAGCTTTCTTACCCAGAGATCAGAGCACGGAAATGTGTTTGACTGGAACAGAGAAATAGGCTGCACACCTGCCCAAAAATCATTGGAAAAGAGTGCCAGTGTTTTTACCTCGGCCCAAAGAGGAATTCAACAGCTCAGTCGGGTTCCTGCGTTTTCAGTGCTCATTTCCAGGCTCTGTGTCCCTTTCTGCCAGTCCCTCCAGCCTCCAAACCAGCACCCACACACATCCTCCCTGTAACACCCCTGGAAAACAAGCAGAGCAACAGCATCACACAGGGGAAAAGCAAAGAGAGAATAAGTGAAGGGTGGTGAATTTTAATGGTCTTTGGTCTCAATGAATGCTTCACTCCTCAGCCAGAAGCATAAAAGGTTTCTGGGGTTTCACCACATCCACGTGAAGGGATTGCAGACAAAAATGGCCAGAAAGGGTATAAAAATACTTTTTGTTTTAAGAAAAGGAGAAAGAAAGAATTATGTTCTTCACACATGGTAAAGATTTACATCCTAGATGATATTTGGGAATAGGAGAGAGAAACAACAAATTTTTCCTCATTTAATATCCACTGCATTGGAATGCTTTGTGTGTTAACACCTTGTAGCAACACTTTGGCCATGAAGTCTCTATATTGCTGATTGATGTATTGATAGAAAACATCCTCATAGTTGAGCTAAAAGTCTGTAAAACAGAGAGCAATATCTTTATATACTGTAAAATCTGCATTAGCTTCACTAGGGAGAAATAATTAAAGTAACTGAGGAGAAAAAATCTCTGTTAAATACAACGTGGAAAGCTAAAGAAAATGTGATTTTATTCTCTTTGAAAAGCTGAACTCATTTTCAAAAGGCAATTTTAATTAAAAAAAAATTCAGAAAATCTGGTGTTATTTGAATAAAAAAGACAGGGTTATGAAAGTGTTTTAAAGTTGTTACTCCTAAGGAAGTAGAAGTAAAATCTTTGGCCAGTAGAGCAAAGATAAGATCAAAGATTTCGTTCTTACTTTCTGAGAAATGCCAGTAACTTAACCATGGATTTGAGCATAGCAACTCTAGAGATAATATAGGATAAACCAGGCTGACTTCCAAAGAGAAACATGTGGGACAGCTACAGAAGTATAACTTCTTTTGTACCAGATGCTGAAAAACTGGTTTCTTGCTTTGACAAATACTTCTCTCACCAGTTCAAGCAAAATTCTGGAGCAGTTAATCTTTAGTGCATTGGAAGAGCAGATCCATAATTGCTTTGTTTTCCTCAGCTTCTGTTTATTAAATGTTCACTTTCAATTCCTTCCTGAGTTTGCAGGGAGAGTGTCATGATTTTCTGTCTGATGTGGAGGAGATGTTCACGTGTCACTGTGGAAACTGTCACTGACAGACACAGAAATTCAAATACTTGTTTCTTCTGTGACACTTTTATCAAGTGAGTGAAACATTTGACTTCTGTTAGAGTTTGTATGTTTGGTTTTAATGACTCTCAATCTTTGTTCATAACCTACTGAAAGGCATTTTGCTGCATTTTGTTCCTTTTAAACGTCTCTTGTTTCTGGTAGCCAGCTCACTTGAGGAAGTGCCAAAGCACTGTGGTACCTCACCATGTCTGTGCTCTGCAGTGACATCCCTCTGCAGCTGAGCAGGGGGAAAAATAACCTTCTAGATCTCAAACTTTGAAAGAAGAAGGCACCCCAGGGGAGTTATTTGACAGTCTGCAGATTTTTGTAACAGGGAAACCAATGGAAGCTTCAAGTGTGTTTAGAGAGAATTGCTTCCTTGCATCTCAAAACCTCGTGCAGGGCAGAGAGCAGCAAATCCTAGTGCAGTGTCAGCTGGGGGCACAGGGACACCTTGGGGTGAAGAGATGGAAAATCAATATTAAATTCAGTTTGCTGTGTTAATTCCCACTTGCTTAACAGCACTTTGGATGGACTAGAACCCCTTTGTCCATTAGCTACATGAACATCTAGAGATGCCACGCTAAAATCTTGGAAGATCTGAAATGCTTTCAGTGGAGCAGGAGTGAAAAAAGTTGTATTCTCTAAGAAAAACCTGGAGCTACTAACAATCATGCTTCCCCCTTTTAATTTTATATCTTCATATAATTTGTGGGGCATTGTTTTCTGAGTGGTTTTGAAGTTACTTACCTCTACTTATATTGTTCTGATGATTACCCTTCTAATGACCTCATAGATATCTTGTCTCGTTTAAACCTTGGCTGCAGTGATTTGAGCCATGCTTTGAGCTGGCAGTCTGACTTCAAATTCATCCCATAAGCATACAGTTTTTAAAATCTATAGGTTTTTTTCAATTGATTCTACTTGTTCTTATTAATAATTTTTCCCAATGTGCATGTATGAATGTATTTCTGTGTTGAGGGAGAGAGGATTGGTAAGCAGTGATTCATCTCCAAGAACAGCATTTTGGAGCTCACAGAATATATCAGAAGCTGCCATGCTAGATGTGAAATCATTTCCCCAGAACTTCCCTGTTATATAAGCAGTTCTTAAACATGCAGTGCATTACTGCCTGCCTTATTTGCATTTGTCATGTTCCAGGGCTATTCCCTTATCAACATAATACCCTCTGTGGTTGTACTGCTTACAATAAATTACTTCTGCTTTTCCTTTTGTTCTCAAGGTTATCCTAATCTCCCAAGAACACTTAAGGACAGTAAGGCTGTGAAGAAACAGAGAACTGAAGTTCCATTACGACCCAGTAAGTTGAACATTTTGACATTTGGTACCTGCAGTGGAGAGCACAGAAATGCTGGGGGGTGTTGCCCTGTCCTGGAGAACCCCCGGCTCTTGTTGCCCTCTTGACTTGCATGGGAACAAACCAAGGCACTGGTGACATGCAACATCTAAATCATTTCAAGGCAATCACATGGCTAGTGTTCAAGAATAATTCTTTTATTTATAAAGTGTTGGGGGTGGGGAGAGAGAGAGGTGGGTGTGCAGTTTATCTGGTCAGACTGTGAACATGTGCAGGTGCCTGTCCTCCAGCTGGCAAAGGGATTGGGCATGACCAGCGTTTACTGTGTGTCTAACTAAGAATTTCTGAGTGCAAAACTTAAATTCCCAGCCCAGATAACAGAGAAATGTAGCTCAAGCCAGCTACAGAGAATTCAGCCTTTTGCCATAGTCTATGCAGAGGCAATAAATTCAATCCCACTTGAAAATGTCTTGTTTGCATAGGTATAAATAATTTTAAACCCAAAAAACCATTATAATTGGTAAAGTATGGAACAGAATTAAACTAACATTACTTACATGATGCCTAAAGGACAGACTAAATGTATTTATTCTTAAGAATACAGGAAATACCATGAGGAATTTACAGGAAACAATACTTATGCAATATTTTATATTGTCTTTATTTAAATTTCTCTAAATATGTTGAACTTTTGACATATTTGTACATATGCTGTAGTTTTCAATATCATAACTAATTTTCAGATTGGTCATGACATCTCTGTGAGAATATTCTGAATGTCACTGATGTTAAAATGCCATTATTTCACTGTTTGTACCAGGTATATCCGTCATCACTTTACTCCCGTTGTTTCATTTCTTTGGCTCTCAGACTAGTGAGCATTAATTTCAAACAGATTCATACAATTTTTGACACTTACTGGATTACACTGCTGGCATAGCTGACTTGTTTAATCCTTATCTCAAAACTGAAATAATATTAAGGGCTGCTTTAAAAATGTTGTCACTGATGTAACCAGTGTTTTTAAGGTACTTTATAACCAAAAGAATTATTTTCTTTTAAACATGGCATTACAGAATAACTGTCACCCACTCTCCTGAGAAGGACCCCAAGATGTGGTTCCTTCTTCTGCTTCACACTTGAATCCAGTGTTGCTTAACAATCTACAGTGAGAAACCAATCTACATCTTGAAGAAAATATGATTACTTCCTTTGCCTTAAAGTCTAACTAAATATTTAGACAATTTTAATTGATAGAAGGTTGGACAATGTAGTAGCAATTTGGAGTTGGGAGTATAAGCAAAATTAGTTGCTCTGGCACAAGCCCTTGGCTTGTTATTAAGGAAGATGATTACTATAATTAGTGGCAGAGAAGATGTACAATTCTCTTTATAAAATGGTTGTGGATTATCTCCAAAAAATTATTATACTGTCTGTCTGGCCAGAAAAATATCCAAGGGGGACACCTGTGTTCAGCTGGGAACAGTTGTAAGGCTGTTGTTCCATGGCAGGCACTGCAGGGGCAGGGCTGTCCCTGCTCTGCACAATGGGCTCCATTGAACAGAAGGGAAAAGGAGAGGCATGGATAACTTTTCCTCAAGGATCCCTTTTCCTTTGGTTGTCTTCCTTCCTGTTTGGATTTCATTTGTCCTTTCATTCTGTGGGTGAGCCAGGAATCCACCTTCCCCAGTGCCTGCTGCTGGTCCTGGGTCAGGGAGAAGCACTCGACCTTTCTTCTCCCCCCAGCAAGCAGTGCCTGGATTCTCCTATGGACGGTGCCACAGCCTCCAGAGGAAGCTGGAAGCACCTCTGTCTTTGCCCCTGATCATTTTTCTTAGGGGGCAGTTCCATAGGTTTCAACACCACTTTAAAGACAGAGAGAAAATGGAGCCTGGGCCACTGCTCCAATGGGGGAGTTTGTCTAAAAGCAAGGGGAAGGAAACTCTCACTCTTTTCCTGGTCATTTCGGGAAAGAAACCAATTTCTGGGTTTGTTTTTGTTTGGTTGGTTGGGTTGGGTTTTGTTTGTTTGTTTGTTTGTTTTGGTGGGGAGAGCTTTGCTTGGTTTTTTGGTTTTTTTAAGAGGAAATGAGTTTGCAGTGTGCTTTGAAACCTGCAGGACCTGCAGGAGGGTGGGCAGAGAAATGCTTAGGTTGGTCACCTGCAGTGAGGGACGTGACATATAACTCTTTCAGGAATTCATCCTTTGTCATAATTTAGAGAAGCTGAGATTTTTTATCTGAATAACTTTTTACTGAACTCCCCCTTCAGTTTATGTGCTACCTACAGTCCATGTAATCCAGTATTGTGTCTTTGCATCTGGGAGTTTAAACCCCGTGTAATTTATGTATTAGACATTAAATCCCTCCTCAAGCTGGTATATCTGTTTTGGGGTGATTAAAGCATTTTATATGTGCTGTATTTATTTGCTCAGTCAAACCAGACAACTGCAAAGAGACCTGATCTGGTGTTTCAGTCAATGTTAACCATGGTGTGTGTTCTGCTGCTGGGCTGTACAGTAATGCTCCTGTTATCCTGTAGCTTCCATCTGTAACTTCCAGCCATTACTCATGGCACAGAGATTTTTTTCTCACTCAGAGTGCTGCCACCTATGGTGTGGAAAGAATGAGGAAAACTTGTAACAGTAATGCTACATAAATAGTGCTTTCAGACTAGGGGGAGAAATACAGGGAATCCAAATGAAGATTAAAGAGAATTTGTAGAGAAAGAGCTGCCTGATTTGGAATGAAGTCAGGAACCCTGTGGCTGATGAGCTCATCCTCAAAAAAAAACCCACCATAAGGCAAATTATGAACTCAGCCCCAAAAGTACAGGCCATCAAAAGTAAATCATTAATTGCGTATATTTAATAAAATAGATATAAAAATATTATTCAACAGTAGGTGACATAGTGACTCAAATGATGATAGGATAACATTTAAATCTGAAATAAATTTTGGTGAGAAATTATGCTGTCCTTCTAAGATGAGGAGAAAACTGTTTCAGTAGATGACAGCAGAGTCCTTCTGCTTTTTATCTCTTTAATCAATTTAAAAGGCCAACAGATATTTTATAATGGTGCCTTTCTTTCCCAGAGCAGGCATCTGATAAGGCCTTATGCTTGATGCTCCATTTCCCAAGCTAAAATCCCCTGCCTTGACATTGTTCAAGGTGAGCTTAAATAGGGCAGGACACACGCTGTTCTTACAGCTGTATTTGTTCAGGTGCACAATTCCAACTGCACAGGGCTGCCCATTCCCAGTGCTGACTGCCAGGAGACAGGGAAAGGGAAAAGGGGAGGGAGGAGAATTTTATTTAAAGGTCCTGCTATTGTTAGAGCAGTTACAGTATCCAAAAGCATTATAATTAATAGCATCAAACATACAATTTTCTCTTCCTTGGTGTAGAAGAAAACAAATGATCTCACTGGCTGTTCCATGGGGTCACTGTCCAGTGGGACAGACACGGGCTGGATGGCCCGGGCAGTGGGTTCATCCAGGGGGTGGTTGGTCACTGTGGTGCCCCCAGGGCTCGGTGCTGAGGCCAGAACTGTTTGACACCTTTCTGGGGGAGGATCTGAGAGCACCCACAGGCACTTTGCAGAGGACACCAGGCTGGGCAGGAGTGCTGTGTGCTGAGGGCAGGAGGCTCTGCAGAGGGACTGGGCAGGCTGGAGCCAGGGGCTGACAGACACCATGGTGTGAGGGTCAGCAGGGCCGAGTGCCAGGTCCTGCCTGGGGTCAGGATAACCTCTGCAGTGCCTGGGGCTGGAAAGCTCCTGCAGGGAAAACCCCTGGGAGTGCTGGGCTGAACATGAGCTGGCTCTGTGCCCCTGTGGCCAACAGGGCCAGTGGCTTCTGTCACACCACTGTCACACCACTGCACCAGCAGGACCAGGGCAGGGATTGTCCCCCTGAACTCTGCTGACCTTCTCACTTTCTCAATACAAGCTCTGAAAGGAGCTTGTATTGATGTGGGGTGGGTCTCTTCTTGTGAGTAACAAGTGATAGCACAAGAAAATAAGAGAAAATGGCCTTATTCTGCCAGAGGAGGTGGGATAATAACAATGGGATAATAAGGGTTCTTCCCCCAGACGGTGGTTGGGCAGCTCCAGGAGGGTTTGGATGATCCTCTGGGGCACAGGGGGTGACTCTTGGGGATGGGCCTATGCAAGGCCAGGAGCTGGACTTGATGATCTTGTGGGTCCTTTACAACTCAAGATATTCTATGATTCTGGGTTATTAAGAAAAATGTCTTCACCAAAAGGCTTGTCAGGCCCTGGAAGAGGATACCCAGGGAAGTTGTTGACTCCCATCCCTGGAGGTGTTCAGAAGATGTGAGGATGTGGTGCTGAGGGACATGGTTCATGTGGAGCTGCCAGTGTGGGGTTACAGGTTGGGCTTCATCTTTGCCAAGCTGAAAGACTGTGACTGTTTCATGGTGTTGTTGGCACTTGGCTGTGTTTAAGAAACAGAGGAGTGCCCTCCTCTTTCTTTCCATAGAACTGCAGCCTCTACCTTTTCTCTTTTTTTCCTCCCTAATTTCTCATAGTGTCTTTATTAAAGAAAATAAATGTAAATGAGGTGCCTCTAGCAGTATAATTAAAACTTTCTGGCTTGATTAAAGTATGCAGACTGTCAACTGCTACACCCTAAGAGATTCTGCCACTGACATTTTAGAATATTCAATGCATTCAGGGGAAAATATCCCACAGGGGGGTTATTTTCTTCTAAGTAAGCATAATTCATGGCAGAATTTAAAGAAGAAAACCATGAAGTGGACTAAATAAACAAGACACTTCCAAGTATGAGTGAATCTTACTAATGTTCTACTGAAAATTGATGCTGTATTCCCAAGGCAAGGCATTATCCATTTATATATAAATAATGAGCTGTTACATAAAAATGTCTGTGCTACAGACAGCACTGATATCTGGGCATCTGCCTGGCTTACTAATGAGGCCAAGACACGGGAGTGAGTCATGTTGCCAAGGAATGTTCTTGCACACATTGGTGAGAGAGGTTTCAGGATCTGGGTGTTCATTCCAAAGAGGGCAGTGGAGAGGGACACTGGGAGCAGGTGAAACCTCAACTAAGAGCTGGGGAGGCCTTAGTCTTGCACAAAATGTTTCTATGTTTTAATACAAATTATCCTTTCAACAGAGAGTGAAATGAACTCCCTAAACGGGTCAAGGGAGAGTAAAAATTGTTCATTTATAAAAGCTTGCAGAGGCTGAAAATTGTTCACATAGAATGGCAAGAGAACACGATCCTGTTTCTCAATTCTCTGGAACAGTCCTCCTCTCTTTTTCTTCTTTCTTATTTTTTTCTTTTTTTTTTCTTCCTTTCTTTTCTCTCTCTTCTTTTCTGTTTTCACTTTTTGTAAGTGACCCTGGAATGGGTCCAATTTTCTCTGGAAAGAAAATACACTTTGATTTATTTTAGTTAGTTGTTTTCACTGTACACACATTGAAGCTTGAAATGTGCCATTGGGGATTTCATAAGAAACAAAGTGTTACTCTATAACATTTTGCTTTTCTTGCATTTATTTATTCAGCTCAGGTCTGCAGCTTGTTTAGGACTAAGATCCACAGAGCACGAGACTGACTCTAACTCAGGTAAAGGTGTGACCCTGCCCTAAGGGAGTAAATTCTGAATCATGCTTCCTCTTCCCTCTGGAACTCTCCAGGTAGGTGTGTCTGCTCCATGTAAACCGCTCCAGCATTTCTGTACCAGTGCTTTGGGATGTTCTACCCAGGACTGAGCTGATACACCAAGATAAGATGGGGTTTAAATCTTCTAACTCCTCGATAAACAATTCCATTCCTGCTGTCAGCCAATTCCTTTGTTATAGTTTTGCACAGCCCATTCTGCAGCTGGATCTCCTGGATGCTGGGTGTAGCATTTTTCTCTGTTAGGCAACGCTTGCCCCTGGATCTCTGAGTAAAGGAGGCTTTAAAGGCTTGTCAGGCAAATCTAAAAGAAAAAATTGTTTGCACTGAGCCACTCTGCAATTACAGGAAAAATCCTTCCTGCTGATGGAGCCTTTCAGTGCAATGGGTGTGTTGTGGCTGTGCCATGCAGTGGGCACAGTCACCTTTTCCTTTTTGGGTGGGACAATCAGAGCAGTTCCCAGGTGCCCCAAGCCCTTCCTTCAGCAGGTGGTGCCTGTTCAGCTGCCTTTGAGCCTTATTTCATCTCAAAATGGCTCGTTTTCCAGAGTGAATCATACCAAGCAGAAATAGCCCTTTGCAGTGCTGAATCTTCCTCTCACTAGTTTTATTTGAAGATATCTCTGGTGATTCAAATTTAACTGTGGTTCAACTCAAATTTTCTCCATCTGGGTTTCCCTGAGTTATGTAACTTCTCACAGGCCAAAGAACCTCAGTTATTAACATCTTTTGCTTGAAGTAAATTTTTTAATTAAGTGGGAAAGATAAAAAACTGGAGGAGATTTAGTGCTGTTTATTTTATATTCTTTGAGAGCCACAGGATTATGTGCTGGCTTGTAAATGGGCTGAGAGTTTATTTTCCCCCAAGAAGAAAAATGTCCCTGGAACACTACAAGGAAAATGGGTTTCAAAACTCAGTTCTAGATTTAGAATTGTCATTAATTGTTGGCTTCTGTGAGAGTCAGTGTTTTTTAATCATTGCTCATCATGAATTCTCTCTAACTTATGTTTCTGCTTTGAAGACGTGACTCTTTTGAGCTTTTGGAGACATAATGATCTTGGGAAAACTGAACCGTTATCTTTGCCCTGTTCTAGGATGAGGATGATATTAAAAACTGCTGCTAATACCATCTGTAACTAAACAAAGCACTGTAACAAATGAAAGAAGGAACAACTAAGCTTCAGATTTTAATAGACATCAGAAATATGTTCAGGCTTAAAACACCTCTGTGTATTCTGTGGAGTTTGTTATGGATGGAACTCTAAATGTAAACTACCCCTCTGCAGAGGAAGGATAAAAGAAAGTTGACGGTATTTGAACTTGAAAGAATTTAGCAGATAGTATCTGTTACACATTTCAGGTTATCCATTCCAGTTTGTTATTTCATTCACTATAATCTTACAAGAGAGAAAAGTATTGAAAGTGCAAGATGTGGATCAAAAGATGCAAATATTCACCAAAAGTAGCAAATTTTATAGAGAAAAACTGAAACCATTTTTTCTTTCTCAGTCACAGAGGTGATCAAATTAACAAAAAAATGTCAACTCCTTTAAAGTAGTTTTGTGACTGAATATATAAAAACTTTCTGTATTTGGTAGCAGAAATTGATACGTTTGAATTAATAGAAGACAATGTCTGAAGAATTCCCTGAGTTGTCCAGGGATTGTCAGGTGATTGTAAACTGGTCCACACCCCTTTCTGAAGAATAAAGTGAAGCATAAGTTTGTTACCTTCAGTTCATGATTTTTACAAAATTTTGTGAAGGAGCTCAGTTAGGAAATTTTTTTTTTACCACCTTTATCTCCCTCCTTGGTTGCTTTTATCCTGAGGGGAAATGTCTGGTTACTCTGCTGTTCTGCAGACCTTTAAAGGCAGCATTGTCCCTGAGAGGTGGGATCCCAGGATCCTCCCATTCATTTAATCCCTGTTCCCTGTGCCTTCTCAGTTGTTTTGGACGAGGGCTGGTATGACCATATGGTGCATCTGATGGTGGAACTGAGTCAATTTATTACTATTGTTTTTATCCAGATTCTTTCCCAAGCACAGGAGTTTCCAGCTCCTTTCCTGTTCAGCTGTGTGGTCTCTTGTGCAGCTCCTTGTCAGCCTGGTCTTTGCACTGTTATTTTGTCTACATAACTTTGTAGTTTGGGTGACTGGAAGTTATAAACGGAAGTTATAAACATTTATTCTGTTTAGCGTCAGTTCTCCTATTTATTTCTCCCAATTCAAAGTTTTCTTTGCCTGAACAGTTACTGGACCCCATTCCATGAAAGACTGCCTGAGGAACATTCCACTTTCACATCCAGTGGGTCCAGCAAGGTGCTGAACATGTTCTGTGGGAACGGGATTAACAGCAGCTTTCCCAGCCTCCCTGAGGAAGTGCACGCACCACTAATGTAGTAAGACCTGTAAAACAAATTGGAAGTAACTCTTATTTTGTACCCATTGGTAAATTACATGACATTTCTACCAAAAAAGCCTCCCAAGCTGCCATACCAGCTGGAAATGCTTCAGTTTAGTATAACAAGTACAACCATGAAGAGCTTTTATAGATATGACTAATTCAGTGTAGCTTCATTCTAAATTAATGCATTGGGACAGCCAATAGTAAAGCTATTAAAAGAATTAAATGGTGGTGGAATTGTCAAAATTTCTCCCTTGGCTTGAATTTAGGAAGACAGTTTTAGCTACATGGGTCTCAAGTCAGCAGCAGAGACAGTCACACACTGCATTCAGTGTTGCAGGAGGTTTCTGGGGCAAGGACTAGAGGAAAACTGTTACCCACTGAACAGCACTATGTGCCTGCACATGGAACTTCCTTTAGTTAACTTTCCTTCAGTTACATTAACTTTAGTTAATTTTCCTTTAGTTAAGACAAAAGGGATAACACTGAAATTAGACAAAAAGGCCCCCTGGCAGGCAAAGCCTGTCCAAACAGATGGGCTTCCAACACACTTGAAGGTCACCAGACTCAGAATTTGCTGGGGGCGTCAGTAATCATGAGTTTGTGATCTGTCTCTGCTGCAGCTACAGGATCTAACCTAGACATGTCTCAGCAGTTCAAAGATAAGGCCCTTAAAGCAGCTATCCTAGCAAAGTGAAAAAGCAACTAGATCCTCTTAATAAAAGAGAAAAGAAATCTTGCTGGCCCTAATTGGAAGTTGTAAACATTCCAGTATAAAGGATGCAATGCAGGGTGCAGAAAAATAGTATAGTGAGAGCCAAAGATTAATAAAGTGAACTGTGAGACTGCACAGAAATTGTTATTTCTGTTTGAGGTGTATCCTTCCAAATAATAAATGACAAAATACACCTGTACAACTGACTCATAATCCAGGTGAGCACAGATCTCCCCAGTGAACACTGAAATTAAGGAATATGGTGTCCTGGCAAGTCAGAAGTGACAGAATGCAGGTCCTGCTGTTGTGGTGCTTGGTTATTCAGGGTTAGTGATGACTACATTACATCCCATATGACTTCCCCAAAAATAGACTGAATTAGTGCAAGGAATAATTTAATTCCTTGACTTGTTTCTGCAGTTTTCTTCTCCCTCAAGTGCAGGGTGTGCCTGTGTGTGATCCTGGACACTCAGGTGCTGAGTAGCAGCTGAAGTGCTGGCACCTGGAAATACATCCAAGGCTGTGTGTTTGAGGTTTTTTCACTCTGCTGTCCTCCCAATTTATGTGCACATAACTTGGACCTGAGGCTAAATCTGCTACTGCTCACAAAGCCATGTGTTATAACCTAATTTCGTAGAGCTCTCAAATATTGAGAAGAAGACTGTACTGCTGGTGCTTATGGTATTTTACAAGTTAGGAAAAGTAAGGTATAAGCAAAAGTTCATTATAAGGTGTTGCCATTGACTTCCTATCAGTGTTTTCCACCATCTCTAGGTAGTTTCTGTAGAGCACAAATGTGGTGAACTGGGACAGAGCCTTGGAGAGCTGTGGTGTGACAGGGAAAAGGGAATTTACTGCCAGCAAACTCCAACCATGACCTGAGCTCAAGCTGGTTCAGCGACCATGGCAAAAGAAAGGATCCACCTGGGCAAAGGGAATATTTCTGCAGCTGTGAGATAGTTAGAGCTCTTCTCGTGGAGAAGTCTGTTGTTGCATCCAGTGAAAATACTGAACATGGTACTGAACAAAAAGTGAGATTGTTAATCTTCTTTTTAATCCTCCCTAACGGCCTGAAAATCTTTCAAATATTCCCAGCATTCAGTGAAAGATAAGAACACGTGGTGCTACCTTCATTCCTGGTTAACATGAAATGAAAATTACACTTGAAGTGCAGCTCGTAAGCAAGACCTGCCAGGATTATTCCTATTCTTCCTTAGGAGCTGATAAAATAAAATTGTCCTTTTTAGATTTTTTTTCACTGCACTGTTGTCTCTTTTACTTTCATAAGTTTTATTATCTTGCTGTATGTTGTTAAATCTAAGTAGAATATTAAGTACAGAACTTTTCCCATCAGTAAATGTTTTCTTTCCTATAAAATGTGTTCATAGCCTGAATTTAACATAGCTGCATCTTTCCAAGGTATTAAGGAAGCTTTTATGTCCCTATAACTGATCCAACATTCCATCAGGACTAAATATTTTAAATATTTTTAGGAGTTTGATTTTGAAAGTGTAAGGACAGAGATGAAATCCTCACCTCATTAAATTCCATGGAAGCAGGATTTAATTCTGCTATTTCAACCCTATTGAACCCTATTTCTTTCCCATTCATATATTAATCAAGTTACTATCATGAAATCAGACCTACATAAAGAAAGGGCCTTATGACCAGCCAATACTATAACATAATATTGAATTCCTACTCTATAGTTTCACCAAAACCTCATTTTCCATCAGATGATCTGGAGTGAAAATGGGTCAGTTGGCATAATAAAGATATAATAAGGCACTGTTAAAGGTGCCTGAAAATTGCAGTTCTGAACAGAACTGTAGGCTGCTTCTTCCACTTTCACAACATAAATCATTTATGTTATCCAGGTGTGATGAATACTAAATGATCTATGGAAGAAATCATATTAACAGACTTCTTTTATTATTAGAATGACTGCAGGGAACTAGGGTCAGTCACCTGAGTGAAAGATATGTAAGACCAAATAATAAAATATGGGGATTGGATAGCACATCATTTCAATCAGGTTTGAAAGTAATAAACATACAAAAGCTAAAAAGGAAGCACTTGGACTAATGGAGCCTTGAATTTCCTGCTCCTTGAGGGCTCATTTCTTCCTTCTGCTGGACACACAAAGCTGCAAACATCGTGGCTCCCTGTGAAAATCCATCTGTACATGAGGGATGTACCTGCCTGCCTTTGGACCTTCAGCACTCACCTGGAATTGTGGAAGGATGTCAGAGCAGAGTGGCCTCAGATCTTGTGACAAAAATCCTTTTGTTCCCAGTCATTTCCTGAGCCAGAACCCAGCCAGTGTGTGACTGGATGGCTCCAGAGCAGGTGCCTGTCCAAGGAAAGGTGTCTGAGCTGTGCTACAGGAAAGGGAACATTCAAATTCCTAAAGAAGGATGAAACACAGTTTTCAGAATGTGTTTAATCCTCTGACTCTATTCTTCTGATGTGCATTAGATAAATATTGGATAATATACCATTGAAATAAAACGGTTATTTGGTACTGTAAGGGCAAACTTTAAAATCTGGTCTGATCCTTGTCTCTGAAAATGCTGGTCTTATAAAAGCAGTTAGCAACAACTATAACCTGCTTTGTAACTGCTTAAAAACATACATCACAAAAAGTTTACCAGGTTTAATTACTGTTATTCAATACTAAATATACCTAAAGTATACTTAATTTCATATTTTTGTTTGATTTCAATCTCTGGTTTGTGCCCTTTTTTTAACAGTTTCTCTATCTTCTCTCCGCCCAAATAATTTTATTTTCTTTTTTAATTTGTTTTCCCACAGCCTGAAGAAAACTCCAAATAAAATAGGAAAATATTATTGGGATTGTCACATCGAATCAAGGTTTCCATTCCCCAAAAGCATTTTTTAAGGTGAACTTAATTTTTGTTTCTCTTACTGGGCTCATTTTATCCAGATAACAGAGGAAAAAAGGTTGTTGTCTCCTTTTTCAGTTCAAAGTAATAATGGCTCACAAGAAGCCCAAAGCAAAGTGCCAGAGTATTCTCTACTGGCTTGACCTATTCTGGGGGGAGATCAGGAGTGACAAATCCCACCCCAGCAGTGACACTGAACAAATAAGGCTTTGCCCAACTCCCTGTATGACACAGGTGTTTATTGCTGAGAATTAGCTAGGAGCTGGAAAACATTTGGGGTTTTTTTGCAGGAATAACAGTTCCTACTAAATCAAGTTCTTAATGTGTTTTCTTAAAAGGCTTGGCTTGTCCTCTGGCCGGGAAGGGCTGAGGGACTGAGCTGAGCAGGGCTGAGGGGCCTGGAGGACACAGCAAAGCAGTCACTGTTCATATTTATCCATTCCCAATAAACACCAACATCAAAACAGCTGGATTTTGTTTTCTAGTCCCAAATGTATGTGATCTTTTCAGAACGACTGGGTGGAGACTCCAAAGCTCTGGAGTCCCAGTGGGCACCTGGGGAAGCTGCTGCCCCACATTCCCAGCACCCCCACAGCCCTGGCATCGTGTTCTCCTGCCAGAACACACCAGACCAGGTCAGTCAGAGGATTAGTTCTGCTTTGCTTGACATGAGGCAGAGCTGTCCTTTAGTTCAGGAGTTCTCCTTTAAACCCCAAGCAGGTTATTTGGGGGATGATTTCCTGGCCTGTGTGGGCCGTCTGTCTCAGTACTTACGAGGCCTGCTGTGTGCCCTGTCCAGCCAGAGGCCTTTTGGGTTTTTTAGTCTTATCCCGTGTTGACAGGGAGAACAGCTTGTTTTCTTCTTTTCAGTCACTGTACACGTGCTGTGTACATGAAGTTCTATGCTGCACTTCTTCTCCCTAAAATAAACAAATTCAGTTCCTTCAAACCAGACTTATATCTTGTGTTTGCAGGTTGTTTATTGCTCTTGTGTTCCTTGGATTTTTCTCCAGTCATTCCACCTATTGCTTAAGTGGACACAGTCTGCAGCTGAGATCTTACAAGCACCACATGCAGGGAATTGATTACTCTGGTTTTCCTACATCCCACAACATTTGCTTTTCTGTCAGAAGTGCAATATTCCTGACTTTCCTTTAGTTGTGATCGAACACCTGTTTTGAAGAAGTTGCCTATTGACAGAGAACTTGCATTTACTGGATTGCTTCCAATAATCTTATAATAACTTCTTATAATCTTGCCTTCTGATATGTTTTTCAGACTTTAAGGAGTGGTGTTGCTTGGAAACTTTATAAATATGTGCGCTCATCCTTCAGGTTCTCATCACACCTTCATGGGCTGAGGAAAACAGCTCTGGCTCGAAGTCACCCCATCTTTGCAAGTAAGTTCAATTTTGCAAATGCTTGAGTGCAACAGAAATTAAAATCATTAATGGAATTTAATAACAGTTCTTGGATGATTAGGTATCTGTAGGATACGATTCATAAGGGCTGATGATAGAATGACAATAACAGCTTTTTGATGAATGATACATTCCTTTACATACTTGGTGAGTTCACCACTGACATGTGTTGGTAAGAGTCAGAGCAGACAGACCCAAAGCAGCAGAGCATTAGTGGTACTCCAGCAATCACAAGATTGACTGAACAGGTTTGTGCATCATCCCAGGCACTATTCAAGGGGGAGAGCAGTCAGGGCTGCAGCAACTCAGTCAGGGCCTGATCATCTCCAGCACCTTTATCCTGAGGAGCAGACCCTGGGACAGTGACAGTTTTCCTGCCACATGTTAAGTTTACAGGAGCTCTTTCATCAGTGAACCATAATATCAGTATGTTAATCTATTATTAACATGGAATCTGCTTGCTAACAAAAATGTTTAACTTTCTCTTATTTTTCAAATTAATTAAAAAAAATCTAAAACCCCTTCTTAATTGACTGTGAATGAATTAATCATTGCTTTTGTTTATTTTATGGGTGACATAAAAAGAAAATCTTATTAACACATTCATCTTTGTAATACAATTTCTGTAATTTTCCATGGAAAAATTGGCAAATGCCAAAGACTTCAGAAGTTTTATTTGATGTAAAGGCATCAGTCACAAGGCCTGAAAAAGAGTTATGGCTACTAGTGCCATAAATCAATACAGAATGGAGAGATGATAAATGGCTTCCTGGCTTGACTGAAGTACAAGTAAAATCAGATGGACAATGTGTCACCTAATGTCTGATCTCCCCAGACCGAAACTCTTCTTGTTCTGGGTAACCCAGAATACACTTTTAATTCAAATGGTGCTGCTCACAGGCTTCAGGCAATCAAAAACTGCAGTGGGTACCTGCAGGTCACTGTGCAGGGCAGCTGGGAAGGGAGCTGAAGGCAGCAAAATGAAAATATTAGAGTGGAGGAAACAGCAAACACAGAATATGATGAATTGTACGAGTCAGCTGCGGCAATAAAGCAAAGGAGGTCATAGTGAAAACTAAGATTACAGCTACCAGCACTGTATAATGCAGCACTAAAGAGATGAAACTTCTCAGCTCCAGAATGCAGGAGGTGGGATTCAGGGGGAAAAAAAGTAAGAGAAAACCTTGATAGCTCAGCTCAATCAACTTAACAATAATGGCAAAAATCTCTCAAAGGAAAAGCTGATCCACTGGGACAGGCATGGTCTTCATATTCTTTAATTAGCATTTAATTACATACCCAGAAGCATTTCTAGAGTATCAGAAAAGTGAAAGAAAAAGTCTGCTTTAAAGTGAATGTGTGATTGTCACCAGCAGAGATTGCTGTTTCATGAACTGTTAATCTCAGTTCAACATTGAGGCTAATTTGGGGAGCAGACTCAATTAGCTGACAGTTCACAACTGTAACACTCACAGGGAAATCCTGAGATGCTTTTCTGAGCTCCCTGACTTTCTGCAGTGGGCTCAAGACAGGGTCTATCTCTGTCCATCTGTCTGTGTCTCTCCCCTTCCCTTCCTCCCCCTCACAAAAGCAGGCAGAGATTTTATTTGCAGGCCAAGTCCTTTACTTTAGAGAATGTGATTGATTATGATTCTGTGAATTCTGAGTTATGACTCATAACGTGTCTTTTTTGCCTTAAAGCTCAAGTATGGGTACTGTTAGCTGTTTAAAAATATCAGCTTTCCAAAAAATAAATACAAATGAAAAATAATTAAGGTTATAGACATCACAGTTGCTAATGAACCTTAGAAAACGTGACCCATAGCTCTGTGACTCAGGTTTAAAAGACAATTACAAACAAAGGAACTGTAGTCTTTAATAAATACTCAGAAATCCTTAGGGTGTGACTCATGGTTATTCAGTGTGAACACTGGTGATACTGCTATGCCAGTTCATTAGTATTTATTTTATTTTAGTTCCCAGAAACTAATCATGGAGCAGAGCATCTCATGCTGGGCACTCTCAAGCCCATGGCCAAAGAGATGAGGTCTAGTGAAGTCCCTGATGCTGTGGCCCAGCCTGGCAGTGTCCTCACCACCAGGAGCCATGAAATTCTGTTCTCTCTTCATTACATTGAAACATGGTCTGAAATGTTCAGATCGTGGGTCACATTTATCCTCTCTGATACTGAAAGTAGAATACATCCCTTTGAACCATTCCAAGCAAAGACAGTGCAAAAATAAATCTGAAAGCCTTTTGTTCCTGCCCTGAATTTGTTTGTAGTCACAGATGGCCAAACCTGCCTATCAGCAAGACAGGACAACGTGCCTGGAGCTGGCAAAGTGTGTTCTGTGTGTTCCTGGAATGTGGGCACACTGGGCATGGATGGGGCAGGCTGAGGAGGATCCCCAGCACGGAGCAGACTGTGCTGAGCTGTGAGTCAGGGAAGGATGAGCTCAAGGTCAGCTCTCATTAGGAATGTTGGCAATGGAACTGCTGCTTCTTTCTGCTGCTTCCTGACAGGCTGATTTTTCCCTGGGGAAGAGAACATGGAACTGCATAAAGCATTTACTCTGACATAATTTGTTAACATATTCTTGCCTCTTTAACAAACAAACTGTCCTGATAGTTTTGTAAATATTGCATTGCAGGCACAAAACCAGATTTTCAGGGTTGGCCATGTATCTCTAATCTCTGTCCCTGCAGGGCGTCGTGCTAATGATGATTTGTTGTTTGGAGTTTAATTAAGAAAAAAGTTAAGCTTTACTTACTTGTGTTCTTACAATTAAATGCAAATAGGTTTAAAAGAACCTGCTTAGGTATGCAAAGCTGAGTAATACTGACAATCCAATAAAAACAATACGTATAAAAAGGCAGCTTAACTCCAAAACAAGGCAGAGGTGACAAGCTACACAACAGGCTGGTAGGTGTTGGTTTGCAGGGAGGGAAGTGGTGGTTAATAAGTAACTTTGAATCTCATTCAAAATAATAGATGCTAAATAGTTTTCTTTATCAATCAACTCTCCTCCTGGCCATATGAACAGATAACTGTTCCTGTAGCCACAGGTCATTTTTTTTGACATTTTCACCGATTCTGGTGGGTTTGAACATTTCCTTTAGTTCATTTTTTCTTAAGCAATCCTGGGTTTGTTTTTCACTGCATGTTGGACCTGCTTATACATCCAGACCATCATATTTGACCTGATCCTGGGCAAGTGCAGTCTGAATACACATTCTGCCTTTGTATCTGTCCTGAGTCACGATACCAGCACATTATCCTACACACAGATGCATACACGCAAATTTCTCATTATGAAAGTAATGAGAACTAGATGAAAATAAAGCACAGTTTTAATATTCATTAAATTAATCATATGAAAGCCTTGCATTAGCAATTCAATCACATGGAGAAGTGTTATCTTAAGAAGTTCTTTAGGGGCACATCAGGGTTTCCAGTCCAGTTTTGTGTCCTGTTCTCAGCAGTGCTGGGAGTGGCTGTCAGTGATGGCACTTGGTTGCTACCAAAGCTTTGGGAGATTTTCTAAGTATCACAAGACCATTTTGGTGCAGAAGAATCAAATACAATTTGCTATTGTGTGTTAGTCTGTCTGAATGTTTTCTCTGAATGTGAAAAGGAAAATGTGTCTGATCCACCAGGAGAGTAATTTGGTTCATTTCCTGTCTGAAATAGAGTGAAATTAGTTCTGAGACATAGTTTTCTCAATGATTTTCCTGCTCTGTGCTCACAAATTTGTGCTAAGGTTAAGGGACCTGTGAGAGTGAAAAGATATTGATGTGAATGGGAGATTCCACATTTTTGCTCTGGTGAGAGTCTATTTCTAATTATTGCTGAAGATTTTGCCTCCAGTTTATGACTCAGGAGTCACAACTGGTACACACCAGACCACAACATCAGAATGTGTTTTATTTATTTAACTATAAATGAACCAGAGCATCAATAAGAATAAAAGAAATGCTGCAGGTACATTTTACTTGGTGTGATTTGTGATGAGGAATAATTATGACCATTTCACTCATGCAGCTGTTTCACTAAGAAAAACTCCATTTGCCTCCCTACAGCTTGGAGACAGGATGCTGCCAGCCTTGGGTAGGCCCAGGGATTTCTGACAGGTGACACACTTGTCACGGACCATTGAACCAAGAGCAGGCTGGAGAATGTGCAGCCTGGATGGCAGGAGATGACTTACTGAGGAGAGCTGAGCCTGGGAAATAACTCTGGATTGAGTGACCCTGATTTAATTCAGTTTAAAATTAATAGAAAAAGAAACCAAATGGGTTACTAATTACCTTTTTTTAATTATTTCAAAAGGGCAAGCTTTGAGAAATTAAGGGAACTAGTCAGAGAATTCAACTGTGCTGAAGAGCTCCAACCCTTGGGTGTCAGCGAGGCTTGATGGTTTTGAGGTTGCTGTGGTTAATCAAAAATGCAGACCTTCCCAGAGTTGTCTTTACAAACTTTTGAATTCCTTGCAGGAAATGCTTTTAAACCTACTGGGTGAATGACTGCTCAAGCCAAGAATGTTACAGAGACCCTGTAGGGAGTGGAGAGACAGATTGATCAGCAAACAAATCCAAATCAGGAGTCAGAAAGCTTATGGAAAAAGGTAAGAACTGGCCAAAAGAAAGTACTCTGGCAAAATTAAAACAATTAAATCTGGTAAAATAAAGCAAATAATGAAAGATTCATGCAGTAAAATTAAAGATAATCCCTAGCTCCAATGGAAAATACCTTGCTTGTTTTTTCAATGCAGTGTTGAACTGGAAGAGGAGACAGGTCATGTCATGATACAAATAGTCAGAAAAGCCCTGAAAAGTTGCTACACTGGGGCAAAAATTAAGGTTAATTTTTAAAGACTAAAAGACTTAGTGCATGACATGGCCTGTGGTGGGAATTTCTAATAGATGTGCTGCTTTAGAGATTGATTTCTAGTTTCCTTTAATGTTCTGATCCGTGGCACAGATCTGTGCAGTGGCCATCTAGACATTCCAACAGGGATTTATTCCTCATCCTATCCTGAACTGTTTAATTCCCCTGTAATCTAGTGATCACAGGTTTTCAGTGTGATATTCCTCAGGGTTCTTGCAGCTTGTCCTCTCATTTCTGGGGACCTGTGTCAAGGGCATTACAGCTACTTCAGGCAGGGGAAGAGCAGTCAGACTCCAAGGTGTTCTTGATTGTGTGCTCCAGTCAAGAGTTCCAACATCTACCTGTTTATTACTTTGATTCTTGGTGCTCATGGATTACGTTTAACCTTCTCTCATAACTCTCTGTGTGGATGGCACAGAATGTTCTAAATTTAGTATCATTTTACAATGTTCTTAAACACTTAGGTTTTTATGTGTTGTGTATAGAAAACCTCCCCTTCTTTTCTTCTGCCATGAAGATGGAGTAGGAATTGGTCTGTGAAATGTACTGGCTGCAGTACTGTGGTAACTTCTGGAAATGTTTCCTGACCAGGGGCAGGAGAGGGTGAAAATGCTGCTCCTGGCTGGGAATACTTGGCTTTGTACCCTTCCACTGAGAACTGCTTTCCTCCCTGTTCCCATTTGGAGCCACAGAAAAGATACCTGCTCTGACATATTAGAAAAGAGAATGCTCTAGACATGGGGTTATGATTAACGAGATAAACTGTTGTTAAATTAAGGCAGAATTGAAATCTTTGTAATAATTCCAAGCCTATGTTATGTAGGAAGTGTTCTGGATTTGTTGGTGCTTTTCTTAGCTGCAGGAGAGATTTGTGTGGGCATCTGGGGATTTGTTTGCTCCTGTAGTAGAGCTGGTGAATGGAGCATTCCTGTCCATTTCTTCAGCATAATCCCAAAGGGCTCCTAAAATGGGAATTCCAGTTAATCAGGTCGGGTTTGGGACACAGAAGGCCAGAAAGAGTGTTTTTGTGTCTTGTGTGTCAGGAAAGGTGGGAACAGGAAATGCAGCAGTATGGATGTACCTCTGCTCTGAAGTCAGTAAAGGAAATATGTGAAATAATATAATGCCCTCCAAAAGCACAAAATCAGTAGGCAGATCTTCAAGGAGCTTCTTGCTTCCTCTGAGTGATCCTGAAAGCTTCCGGAAGCTCAGTGGGATTCATCACATCCTTCTCCTGCCAAAGCAAAAGATTCACGTCAGTTTATGTAATAATATGATAATATTGTGCTCATTAAAAATAGATTGTTACCAAAAACATCTCTTAGAACACAGTCTGTACAGCCTGAGTTCTTTTCATGACATTATTGAAGAATTTTTGCAAACTCAGATTTTATTTTTAAAGCAGTTGGGATTGTTTCACAGCAAAAGTGAACTAACCTTATAAGTCAAAATAAAAAGTCATCCTGGAATTAGTATTTTAGAATATAAAACTTTTCCAGAAAAAATATTTTTAATTTGAGCTTTTTTGATATAGCGATGAAATTTCTTGGTCAATTAACCATCACTGATGAACAGACAAAGAATTCCTTGAGCAAATTCATGCATAACATGTTGGTGTTTAATTCACTGCAGCCCCAAGGCACAGCAGAGAGGAGATGGAGCCATCTGGGAAAGGGGTGAGGGGGAGTTGTCTCCTGAGGGAATTCCATCCTGCCCAGGATCAGTGGCTGGTGGATAAGAGGCTTGTCAGCCCCGTGTAATCCCACCACTGAGCACCTTTGGGCACTGCTGATTTCTGAGGGACTGAGCACTGAAAGGGAACTCAGCTCCTCCTCCTGCCGTGTCAGCAGTGCAGGAGCAGGACCAGCTTCTGTCCCTCTGTCCCTGGGGGCAGAACTGACGATCTGGGAGGCCAAACAACACCAGTCCTGTGCCTTTCCTTCCCCTCTTTGACCACCACTCCTCTCACAGACAAATGGGACATGAAGTCCAGGGCAGTGGAAGGTCCTCCCTCCCTGCCTGGACTGACTTCACCTTCTGACCCAACTCAAAGCTGTTTTACAACTGAAGTTGAGTGCCCAGACACAAAACTGAATTTAAGTGCCCAGACACAAAACCACTTCAGAGTTGGTGAGAATGGAAGGGAATGGAGCTATGAAATAATTAGTCTGATCAGGCCAAGGTCAAAAGGTACATTTGGAAATAAACTCTGCCTATTTTTTGTATTTCAAATTAAAATAAAATGATGGATTAGAAAAATTGAAACTCAGTAGTACTTTTGGTACCTCTTGCACAAACTAGCTAACTGGAATTCACTTCTTAAATCCAAAATGAAGCAGCCAGAGCCTCAGAAGACAGTGATTAAGACATTAAAAGGAAATGTTCCACCATTAATATTCTGAAGTGTGCTCAATCTCACATGTCTTACTGCAGCATCTGCTTCCAAAATGAGTAATGATGCAAAAGCAAGGGGAAGAAGAAGAAAAAAAAGATAAAGCAATTTTTTTATAAATACTGAAGCTTAAAGAAAGAGTCATCTTGAGGAAGTTGAGAGGTTAAATCAAATATTAATCCTTAAAAGCAAGCAAGACATCCTAAAATGGGCTGAATAGTAAGAATAATGGTTATAACTCGGGGTGAAGGATGATGAAGACTTCTATGGTAAAGGTGATCAGAAGCCAGCAGCCATCCTGCTTTGCAAAGATGCTTTTCTTTGTTGGCTTCAGCCAGTTATTGCTGGACTGGCATCAGTGTTAATGCTGAGAACTCAAATCTCCATCTGTTTTCAGTAGCAGAGGAATCTGCCCTTAGTGCTTTCACAGGCTCAGTTTGTTGCATTTCAGAATGTATATGACATTGCAGGGGTATGTTTTGCATTTAATGTATTTTAGATTGTGTTTTCACCTTTTTTACTTCTCTTAAAAACCGCCTCAACATCTTTTTAGTCAGATCTCTGTGACTTTTCTATCCCCTGCCTCTGTCACATCAGGTTGCCATGGCAATGATATGAAAATGTTCAGAATCACAAGACATTCATGAATCATTCGAGCCAGGTTTCTGAAATTTAAGTTAAAACAAGTAACTTAGAGGTGACCCTAGTGCCTGTGTCTCACCTGAGCTCAGTTCCCGGGAGCTGGGCTGGTGTCTGTGTACAGGTGTGTGCACACCCTGGTGTCTGTGTACAG